GTACAAATACAAGTACAACTGTAAAATGTGTATTAACATAATCAGAAAATTATATATAAACATTATGATTTTTTATTAGATAATTAAGATTTAGATATTTTTACAAACATCTCATTCATACATTGTGAATTATAGCCTTTGCATTTTTTGAATAGATAAGTTACGATTTTAAGAATTTGTCATATTACATTCAAACGAAAAGGGAACAACAAAACTGGATCATTATTTATGAACTATTCAAAAATCTCATAGATTCTCATATTAAATCCATTTGGAATATGGATTAAGCTTTTATAATTTTCTCTCATAATGCATATAAGAAAGAGAGAAAGTTTTGAGGAGAACTTACGTGTCCACGCTACTGGTGTCTTCCTTTCCTTCTTTGGGTACAACACTTATAGGTACAACATCCGTCAGTACACGTTTTATATATCGTTACTCTATCTGTAAATTTACACGTAACTGGTGCGCTATGTACTCCAATCCCTGAAGAAAAACGATTATCATTGCATTCTTTGTTTGTTTGTTTATTTCTGTAAGCAAAAGGCTCATCAGATTTTAAACACAATATAGAACATACAAAATAAAGCATTTTCCAACCACAAGAATTACAAAACAAGGATATAGATATCAAATAATAATTACAAACTGGATTTTCGAAGAGTTGTAGCTTTGTATAAAAATTTACCCAAATTAGATAGCTCTTTCTTCTTTTGGCTATACAATAAATTTATAAGTTTAAATACACTTGGTTTAACATAATAATATTTCTTAATATACACACTTCTCAGGCTTTCATAAAATGCATTCGATCTGTATCAATATCAACGCTCTTTCTTTCTCAGAGCTTAGGCTAACTAAATTGTTCAATAATTTAGATGACAAAAAAATGAATTATTGTTTGGAAAAAAATACTGATTTTCAGAATATCTTTGCTTTTGAAAAAGTAAAAAAAAAAATAAATAAAAATAAAAACTGCGTACAGTATAAAAAATGTTTTGAAAAATTGATTGACTGTTTATTGCTCAACTCCAACTCAACAGTATTTCATGATCAGCCATATTTCAGTGGTATAAAATTGAGATGATGTGGTGATAAATTTTCAATTATTTAAAATAAGCACACACACACAGAGAGAGAGAGAGAGAGAGAGAGAGAGAGTCACCCGGACTGATTATACTTACAAGTGCTTATAATGATAACCAATGTTATCAGTTTAATATTGATGGATTTTATCTTCATATTTCTCTATGTATGTACTCCCCAAAATGATATTCACATTAAATATTATACAGTATATCGTCAATTACATATAATAAACAGTCCTTTAAACACTGGTGAATACTAGTATCAAAGAACTTCGAATCCTTAAATGCATATTCACGCCTAATGGGCAATCCTGTTGATTTCTTTTTTAAAAATGCTTAAAGCCTTTTTGTACTTTTAATATAATTGAGCAGATTGAACAAATCCAGGAAGAAAATAGTTTTTTGGAATTTGTTTTAAAGTTTTAATTTGTTTATAGGTATACTAGTAAACGATAGTTAGGTAAAATGAGGTGTGCTCTGACATGTATAAACATTGATATATAAAAGGAATTTATTTCATATTTTCAATAATTTGACTGTACTTCACTATATTTGTTTCAGAGGAATAAGACATTCTAAAAATAAAAACTAAAAAATAATTTTTGTTTTGGTAACTACTGATTTAGATTCATGATATCGTAGATCCTAAATATAAAGTTAAAGCAAAAGCAAACTTAGCCATGTATTATCTTTATATCATTTTAAGTCATAAGCTTCAGCAGCCTAACAAGTTGTTTGCATGTTAAATATGACATTGTTTTCAAGCTATTTTTCACTAAGGATTTCTCAGTTTACCTGATGTAGCGGGTGTGACTGGTCGACAGGGGATGCTTACTCCTCCTAGGTACCTGATCCCTCCTCTAGTGTTTCCAGAGGTCTGTGTGTTTGCCTGTTTACGATTTGTATTGCTTTTAAGATGGATGAGATTTATCACTGTTCGTTACCTTAACAGATCAGAATTATGGTTGTTTTTAAAACAAAGTGAATGAAAATTTAACTTTCTCATTCTTATGATAATTGTTAAATAGCATTGAATAGCATTGATTAAGCAAGAATTAAAACGGGAATGAGTGGAAATAAATTTTGAAAATGCCTCTAAATACTTTAAGAGAATTATCATTTTAGAAATATACATTTAATTTCAACTTATTTATTTTAGCAAGTACAGGCCGTTTAATGCTATAAGCATATAATTGGTGAATTGATCTTTTAATGACACGTTTTAATTTATATAGTTTCCCCCATCCTCGCAATGCCAGGGGTCCTGAGTCCACACGTTGCCGTGGCCATGTCTTTCGGCAAAAATACAAATCTTGATTGTTTTTCTTATCTTTCAACCAATCATATTAAGCCGTTCTATGATAAACAACTTATAACACGTGCGTTTGAGGTTGTCAACTGAATCCTTTCTGTTTACAAAATCTAGCTATTTTTGAAAGCTTTAATTTGATTGGTGCTTCTCAATGAGAGAAGCAAGCCCTAAAATATCGAATAAACCCCTGGCACTGCGAGGATAAATTTTCCCGTATTCGACCGGTTTTTTTTTCCAAATGTATCTGTACAATAATTGTACTACTGATCGACTTCTTTAAAAAAAAAATAATTATCTTAATCATTTTTTTATTACTATAAAAAATAAATAAATATAATTTTGAAAGCTAATTCTTCTTGAAGAAAAAAGTTCCTTAAATTAGATTTTAAACAAATGTTTTTAAAATATATTTTTATTAAAGTTTATATAAAAATTTTCTTTATATTAAGCCTTCATCTTTTTTATATAGGAAGCATAGTCCCTCCTTCTTTTTTTTTAAAATGCTTCACTAACTTCTTGCGGCAGTGGCTGTAAATTCTATTTATTCCCTCTTTTCATATACACTTGAAAAAAATATTCCGAATCATGAAGTTTACTTATTACTTATTCTAAATCTCCTCCATGAAGGGTATACTTTCTGTTCAATACAACAGTAGGTAGAAAGAAGAGGATTCTCGATCTATTGACGAGAAATACCCCTGTGCAGTCTGTGCGTTCATTAATTTACATTTTAGTTGTCATCCATAAAATAAAATGAAAGCAAAAAATATAAAATTATATAATCTGCATGAAGGATCATTTTTCTTTTGTTTTTTACACTCATATTTATGAACGTAAAATTTCCAACACGACTTTTCAGTTTGAGTGGTCTAAAAATAGATTAGGGAATTTCAAATCTAAAAATATTTAAGTGCACCCAATGAAGTAGAAAAAATCCTTTACTTCGATAAAGTAATAACAGAAATTTGATTATGAGGTTTTATTTAGCCTATATCAAGTTTTCTATTTTGAGGAACAACTATTTTTTGACAAGGAGTACAATTTCATACATGTGTACACATGTCAAAACATATTCTTACTAGGTCGTTATCAGGTTATATATTATCTTAAGAAACGTTTCGAGATTGGGGGTAGGGGGGGGGGTGAATGTGTTTTCAAATTGTTGCAAATTTTTCATATTTAGTAGATATTCTATTTCCCATATTCAAAGAAAGTAATTCAATCTGAAAGAAATATACGACCATTGAATACCACTGTATCGATATCTGTATTCCTTCAAAATGTATCCCCCCCCCCAAAAAAAAACAGTATCAATAAAATATTACATTTGAAGACATAAATTTGACACCCTAATGTTGGTTATGTATTCTTCCTGTGATGTTCTACAAGGAAAATTACTTAAAAACTTAATTTTTTTTCCCAGCATTCTCTATAATAATTTTTACTGTTGACATTATTTGAGTTTTATCCACCCCTTTTTTTTTTTGCTTTCTACTTCGATCTTCCATGTTTACTAAAAATGTATTTGTTTGTATGATACATGTACCACAAGGCATCGGAAAACTATTGTGGGATGTGAAAAAAATATCCATTGAGTGATACTTCAAGTGACGTCATTCTTGCCATGTCTTCAGTTTCTTTATATAAATTTCATGTAAGTGCAATGATATAATAAGTAATCATTACTTTGTCTACATTTATTATTTTTCTATTCACTTTATTATATCTAGATATTTGCCAAATGAATTTTGACTATTTAAGGGGGCCGACTGGGGTTTTAATTGCGCAATACTTCGCGCAGCATAGTAAAATAAAGCGTATTTACCCTTCTAAAGCAACTATTTTTACATAATTTATAAAAATTAACAAATTTAGGAAATCTCAGATTAAAAAATCTAATTACGTTTTTAAATAACTGATTTTTAAACGATTTTTCAAATGATGGGTAGATAGACGTCGTAATAGTGTGTTTTTGACGTTATGAATAACCGAATTTCTTTAAACGGTGTCCTGAATCATGCCATAAAATAAGAAGTATAAAATACATGCTCTTGAAATTTTAAACATAGGAAATTGAGAATATCACAATCATTTTTACCATTTTTTATGTAAATCTGTGATATCTGTCATGTTTTGTTGAACTCCATAAAAACAGGAAAATATCATGAATTTTGACATTTTGAGATGTCCCCTCTGGAAACCAGACGGTAGAATTTTGTGTTTCTTGCATGAAATGTACAGTATAGTATTACCCATCAAATAATATAATTTGAGTAAAAAGTCTATAGTAGCATTTGTATAATTTGCTCCGAAGTGCGAAAAAATGGTATTTTCCTATATAATCCTATAGTAAATGTACCTGTATTTTGAGATGGTCCCTAAAAAATAACCAGACGGTAGATTTTCACTAAACTTGGCATGTATACCGAAGTTAATGAAAGGTACATATGGTATAAAATTAAAGAGTTTCTGTATAGTAGTTTTCACACAAAAAAACCCCAGTCGGCTCCCTTAAAAAACCAAACACGTACACAATTTTTCAGCTGTATTCACTAAGATACATATATTTGTTTTATTCATTTTAACAGAATACTGCCATTTTACAATAATCCTTATAACCATTGGAAACTAATCTTCCAAATTGATATATTTCATATAAAAGAATTTATCAAAAATAATTCTTTACATATGGTGGTGCCATTTTTTGCCAGATTATTCAAAATATTTACATAATGCGAAATATATACTTGCATAAATATATAGGCCTTACACAGTGTACTTGCATAAATGTGATCAGCCATATATTTACAGTATTATTCTTTAGCTTCGTCTTGATATACAAGCAAAAATTCCAAGTGATGCTAAAATCTAATTCAATTGCTATTTCAAAGTCAATGCATTGTATTCAATAGTAAGCTGCCTCTTCGGATATATTTGTATAAATAGAAGTTATAAAAGCACTGGAATATTCCGTGATTGTAAAAAAGCTGCCTATGATCATGTGATATTGCTTTTTTCTATGTATGTAAATGATTTCTTTATGACAAAAATGCCCTAATGGTCCCCTTCACCATTCCTCGGCAGATCGGACATTTGCGCATGGCAGGTGCGCAATCAGCGCACGTGACAATATGGCCGCAGGGTAGAAATACAATACTAACTTTTTCTGTCATACACACTTTGCAGATTGTGATATCTTGCAATTCTTGGTACTCCTTTTGAACAGCTTGCAAATCTACAAGAAAGTAAGTATATATCAACTACAATGATACTCCGGCTTATGAAAAATTTGCATATGCATGTATGCAAAAAGTTACAAAATTTAAATAATATTGTCATGATTCAGTTGTTTACTTAGATATCAAAATACTCAAATAAAATTATATATGAACAATACCTATAAGATTTGTGTTATTCATTTCACTACTAAGTGATTCAATAGAACGAGGTTGGTCCTCGGTTATGGATTCAAAGTTGTTGTCTGCTGATACTCTGTTATTAGATGGGGGTGACTTATCCTCTTGTAGCATGAGAATCTCTACAATGTTTTCAGCTGACACACTCCCACGAATTCCTTGAAATTTCAATGATTCGAAGGCTCCTTTTATTTGTTCTTCAGTGTAACCCATTTCCAGAACGCTTGAAAACACGACAGAATCTATCTCGTCTCCGCCATTGCAGAAAGCACCTTGGCCATTCATTTTTTCTGTCTGCTCCTTTTATGAAAAAAAGTATAAATATTTTATCAAGCATTCCTGCAAATATCAATTAATATTTTACAGATATTTGTACAGACAGGGAACTTCATACTAAACATTTTTATTAGGAAAATCATAGAACATCTTTTTTTTATTCAAACAATAATTTCTATTATCTATTTAATACAAAGATCATCCTTTGAATAGATGAAAAAGTATGTGGTTGTCACCATTTCAATTTAAGAAGTTAAAAGTATGTCAGAAAGTATAGAACTTTGCATCAAAACATGAAATGGTTTGATTTTTTATTTACCCTTCTTTCATCCTCCTCTCTGATGAGTTGTAAATGTCGCACAAACGCTTCTCCTTTATTCTGGATTATAAATGTGCATTTTGGAAACCAGTATGCGTGTTCCACCCAGGGGTCATCTTCAGGTCGCCATTCTGAGAGACCCCCTCCACAACTGAAGCAGCAAACATGATCTGAATAACCTGCATATAAAAAATGCAAATAAGTCAAATTAAAAAATACACTGCGTGTCTATACATGTACATGCAAAACGGCAATGCTCTCAGCCGAATTTCAAATCAATATCAGATGTTAAGTACTACAATTGTTAAATCAAAATTTCTATTTGTCTCTGATGCACACAATCGCTTTTTTTAAGTTAAGCAAAACAAACTTTACATTTAACGATGTGTTCTATATATAATATACCTTTGAAAAAGAATCCTGCTTGCGCCATTTCCGTGGGCGATTTGTGAAAACAATTGTCTGCTGTAGCATAACTTTTTATTCTAGTCGCAAGAACAGCATAAGACGGGAACTTTGGGCGATCAAAATGTATTCCTAAATTCTGAAAAATCTGTTTTGGTGATGAAGCATTTATGCTGCACGAGTCTTTTTCTGGCCTCCTCACAGTGTCTACACGTCTTCCAGAGTTATCCGCTCTTATAGGGCTACGATCTCTTTTCTGATCTTCTTCACGAGTATTTGGCAAAAATATCTTTTTGGAATGCTCAGTTTTAACGTTATTTTCATGTGAAAACGGACAAGTTGAAGAATGCACTACATGTCGTGTGAATAGGTCCGTTAAATCTGTCCAGCTGTTGGATTTGAATTTACAGCTTTCACACTCCACTGCATTGTCATATCCCACGTAATAAAAGCCAGCTTTAGAAAGTTTGCAAATAAATACATCCTTCTCGTTCTTATACTTAGCAAAACTCGCCAACCTTTGCATACTGAATATGCTGCATTTACAAGATTCACTATATGACTATTTAAATACAACGCCGCGCCGCGTCCTCTTGATTATAGGCCTATAATTATAGATGGGGGAATTTTCTGGAGTTATTTTTAGAAATAAAACCGGATAATACACGCATTACATTTTCGTTGTAAAATCAATAAAATGATAAAGAAAAGTCCGTTTTACTTTTATTTTCATATAAAGGAACTCTGAAAGACACTTTATCTAACAGTCCTTGTAAGGTGAAAATATATGCATTCTAGCTTTGGTTATTTGGTTATCTCGGTCTGTCCGATTCCTCGCCGGAGCGGTCCTATATCTAGTGCATCATTTGTTTCATTGTATTTAAAATATCCTAAAATTCCTATACAGCAAAAAGTAAAATGAGCAGAAACTGGAACTCTTAGAATCATTATACAAAAAATAAATAATTTGTGATTGTCTTGAAATATACATCGATGTACTTGATTAAATATACCGAGGAATTGCGAAAATATATAAACTCGAAATTCCATTTCTTTAAATTTTTATGTTAAAACCTGCAAGCCTGTTTCATTTTGTTTTATTTATTTTGTTTATTTATTTTATTTATTTTGTTTATTTTTTTGTTTATTTTTTTTTTTTTGTTATTTTATTTATTTCATTTTATTTTATTTATTTTGTTTTATTTATTTTATTTTATTTATTTGTTTTTTTTTTTTCGGGTAGACTTTACCGGTCCCCAGATCCGCAAGATCCGCGCGCTTATTGCACTATGACGTAAGATTTACGTCACTCAACTGATTAGGGTTGATTTTGCACATTTTTCTACTGGTTAGGGTTAGTCTTGCACCCACCTGAAAAATTAGGGTTAGTCCATGCATAAGTTTTCGACTGATTAGGGTTAGTCTCGCATTCATCCGAGAGATTAGGGTTAGTCCTCGCACATGGGTTAGTCTAGCATGGTTTAGCATCCGCCGTGGAGATGTGGGTTAGTCCTCGCATACCATCCGAGAGATTAGGGTCAGTGTCTTGTTCTTTTAGATTAATCAAGATATTCAGTTGCATCTGCATTTTTTGCAAGATCTTTATTCAGCTTCAACGACATCTCGTTGGTTTGTTTACATGAAAAATATGGCTAAGTACGAAAGAAACGGCACTAAGCATGCGCCGCACGCGCTTCGTTCACAATTATTTTTTGTCTCCTTTTCACTGAATAAATAATATTTATTACTTTTTTCAGAGAACGAGTTTAAAAACTTCGTTTAAAAACGAAGTTTTAAACTAAACTTTTAACCACAGAATTCAATTTTGGGGTCAAAAAGGCTTAAAACCTCATATTTTTAATTTTTTTCGATCGCTCACGCGATATCATATATACTTAAGTCACCTACGGCGACACTATAGTTTAGCGCGTTTTTCTGGGGACCGGTAAAGTCGTTCCGTTTTTTCTTCAAGGCTCTGTCATAGTTATATGGACAGAAATTTGTGTGAATAACAGCTGACGACTCGGGACACCGTTTTCCCAATATAAAGTAGGTCACACTGATGCAAAAAATTGCCGTTTTCAAATTTAAAAGGCGGTCGTAACTCCTTATGGAATGGTAAAACATGTATTTTATAAAAAAAAATAGGCTCTCTCCTGCACATCTTAATCGGCGGAAGAACTCTGTCAACTTGTAATAAACACTTACATTTCCTCATTAAAAAATGATAAAAACACCATTTCTGTGCTCTTTCCTTCATTAAAACAATATAGGATATTCTCGCTTCGAATTTTCAAATCAAAAAAGCGGTCGCACCTTTCACTTTGGTATCAACAATCTTGTCATTTCCGGAAGAAGATATTAAGAAGAATCAAACCATCGGCGGAAGAACTTTATCCGAAATAGTTAGGATATAAAAAAAATCGCAATTTTTGTATTTTCTCTATATAAACCTTTATATTTACATTTGCTGTGTTTTTCTATACTAAGCCAACTGTGAAATTGATTTGAAAACCATTTTGTGTATACTCACGCGTAAAAATATACACGGAGAAACTCGAGCTAAAGTGACGTCACAATACTCACAAACTAGGTAAAAGTGCGAAGCACTTTTATGTTAAGTTTGTGAGTAAAATGTCAAGAGTTTACACATCGATAAAATTTTCAAAAAGAACGTTTAATTCTTATAATTCCAATTACGAAGTTTTAAAATTATTTCTCTTTGAAGCCTCCATACAATCCGTTATTTCTGTATACAGCGTAGGAATACTTTATGTTGCGATGTGGAAATGAAACGTAATCGAGATGAACATCGATAAAGTTTAACTTAAATTGTCAAAACATTCAATAAAACAAACTTATAAAAACTTATAAAAACTCTTCAAATATTGTTTAAGTCAACGAATATCGTAAATACAGGTAGACTTCAGAAGAATTCGTCCTTAACCATGTTGTCATTAACGACAGACGCTCTAAAATGAAAGTAGCATACCGACGACACCCTTGATTTGCCCTGGTTTGTTTAAAGACTGGACAGAATATAGGATGTAGAAATGTGAATTTGATGCTAATAAGGTTAGAGTCTGAGGTGCGTTTCTCTTTCCTATCAGCGCCACCGATAACTGAGCTGATTTGCTTAGTATTCGGCCACCATTATAGTTCCAAAATGGCCGATATGCAAATCAGCAGAATGAACACCATTTCTCCATATGGAATTTATCAAAAGTTATTCCCCGTTGGCCACCATTTCGGAGGTCAATGTGTTCCGATAAATAATGTAATTTATTAAACTTGTGTGTTTCAAAGCAAAGAATTAATAAAATATTTCATTAAATGATTCATTAATCAAATTATTGAAATGAACACATGAATCAAAATCTGCTAGCACCTCATCCCACCTGTAGTGTCTCTAGTGTATTTGCTCTGTTTAGTAAGAGTGTTTATTTATGTTTTTTATGTCGACATATTGAATAGCCCATATGTAACTGAGATACTCATGATTTTGCACTAATTTGATTTAACTTGAGTCTATACTTCATAGGGTAGCTGCAATAATGTAGCCCTCTCCGATTTTTTTTTTATCTGATATTTTCTGGAGAGGGCTACAATTCCACAGCATCTCTGTAATGGTGCAAATATATTTTTTAAATACGGGCGACTGCAGGCAAACTAAATTGTTTTTACATTCAACTTACTTCTAAAAAGGCGAAATTTTTATTCACTGTCAACAACATAGCCCGTTAAACGCGAAAACCAGATAAAATAAATCTGCTTGTTTACCAGTCGCTCTCATCAGAAGCCATGACAGTTCTCGCGTGATGCACTGAGACTTGCGCTTGAAAATTATAAATTACTTTGTAAAGTAGATTTTCGGGGTTACTAAATGATTGTGCTGTATGGCTTCACTAAATATTGATAAATAAAACTATTCCATTTTTTCTAAAGAGCGATATTTATGCCTAAAATAAGGTAATTCCTACAGAGATCCGCTCCCTAGAGATCCCTTGTCTCATTGGCTGTCCCAAAATAAAATCGATCAAGGTCAGTAAACATGGCGGATAAATTCAAGTTGTGATGTTGACATACACGAAAAATAACCGATATATGGATTGTTCTGTGTATGTTTGGATTGATTTATGTTTTGCATAACTACATTTTTGGAGTTCAGGTAAGAAATGTTAATTAAATAGCCATTTACTGATAATTTAATCCAAAATCCGTGCGGGAGTGAATCACTCCCGCACTTGCACCATTACGGAGATCCTAAGGAGTTGTAGCCCTCTCCCCCCCCCCCCCCAAAAAAAAAAAAAAGGAGAGGGCTACATTATTGCAGCTATTCATAGGGATGCTTTTGAATTTATATCACAAATAATGGCTTTGCTGTTCTTAGGAAGAAAATTTCTATTTATATATCCTTTGTATTCCTTTGTATAACTATGATCCCCTGTTATGGCCCCTCTATTCTCCTGGGGAGGGGGGGTCAAGATTTCAACAAACTTGAATCTACACTACCTGAGGATGCTTCCATTTAAATATGACTAATCATGGCTTTGCTGTTCTTGAGAAGAAGATTTTTAAAAGATTTTACCTATGTATTCCTATGTAAAACTTTGATCGCCCATTGTGGTCCCACCCTACCCCCGGGGGTCATGCTTTGAACAAACTTGAATCTACACTACCTGAGGATGCTTCTATATAAATATGACCAATCATGGCTTTGCTGTTCTTGAGAAGGAGATTTTTAAAGATTTTTCCTATATATTCCTATGTAAAAATTTGATCGCCCATTGTGGTCCCACCCTTCCCCCGGGGGTCATGATTTGAACAAACTTGAATCTACATTACCTGAGGATGCTTCCATATAAGTTTCATATTTTCAAGTACAGTGGTTCTTGAGAAGAAGACTTTAAAATGATGTCATTAATTTTTCACGAATTCATAATTATCTCCCCTTGGAGAAAGCCGTGGTCCTTCATTTGAACAAACTTGAATCCCCTTTACCCAAGGATACTTTGTGGCAAGTTTGGTTGAAATTGGCCCAGAGGTTCTTGAGAAGAAGATGAAAATGTGAAAAGTTTACGGCAGCGACGGCAGACAACGGATAAATTTCGATCAGAAAAGCTCACTTGAGCCTTCGGCTCAGGTGAGCTAAAAAATGATATAAAATAAAATGATCTTTTCATATCAGTAAAAATATGAAAGAATTTGAATATTTTATTTTTTGGTGCAATTATCTGTACAATAATATTTTATACTTCTTAAAATGTACAAATAATATGTAAAGTTTATATTAATTCTTTCCGGTGTAAAAATTCTCATTGACTGTTTCACTATCATTTAGAATTCTTTTTCATGACAGGTCTTTTTTCTTTTGCTAATCTCTTCAGTTCAAATTCTAAGTGTTGCTCTTCACTTGTCTTCCGGTTCCGTCTCACAGATTTGGTAGCTTCCGGATCCCCTATCCAATGGAGATCCTCCAGGGAAGAAATGGCGGACGTCGATGACGATCCGTCACTGTGATCGCTAGAAGTTTTCCGGGTCCTTGGTGAACTGAGACTTGTTGAACTTCTTTGTAACCTTGGGGATGAAATTTTACTAAGACTACTAGATTTCACACGTGTATGTGAGGACAAAACCCTCTTGGCTACATTAAATGGTTGTTTCAATGAGCCTGTTTTTGTGTCCATGTTCAAATCCTCAAATTCCTTAGAAACACGTCTTGACCTCCTCTGGGCATAAAGGCGTCCTGAAATAGATTTACACCATTTCAAAAACATTGAAATACACACTTTAATTTTCCTTTTTAAACAGAACTTCTGTTTCTGAATTTTACAAATGCCGATTAAGTTTAGTTACACCATTTTTATATCGATCAAAAGTTATAGGCGGATTTAAGCTGAACTATTGTACTTATGGGATATTTTTTTAAAGATTTTTTCATATTTTAGATATAGTTCGCAATTTTGTTTCTTTGTTTGTTTGTTTCTGTTTTTTATTTTTGGGGTTTGTATCTTTGTTTTTTTTTTGTTTGGGGGGGGGGGGGTGGTGGTGGGGGGTATTTTTCGTTGTTTTTTGTTTGTTTGTTTTGACATTCTCGTGACCTTGAAATTTATGTCGAGAAATTATTTGTAGACCTAGTTTGAAAACATGTCGAAAAGGCGGATTGCCATGTCAACACTCTTTTGTGTGACATGAAACCTGTTGTATAGCATTTTATTTTTAGCCGATGTTATTTTTATATAATCTGTGTTTTCCTATACCTCCTACTGCTCTATTTATGGATGTAGCTAAAATTGTCGACGGCGCCACAGCAGATTTTTTATTAATATATCTTTTATCTTTTCGCATTAGGTAAGATTTTAAATTCATTAATTTTGCAATAATCATCAGAATTATCATAACTTAAGTTAAAAGTAAAAATCATTTAATTTATGTGGTAAGTAATATTTCATATGCTAAGAGTTTTTCTTTTTCGAAACATAGACTGTACTAAAGAGATTATAAACGTTTCACTTTATCTGTTTGCAATGAAAAAAATTATAAAAAATCAGATTACATGTACAATAACTTTAATATTTTGAATACTAGAATTAAGGAAGGTTATTCCCATCAGCTACATATCCTCATTGTAGGTTACCTTGTTCCTCGTGGCTTGGGTTTCTTCTGTTTTGAGACGGGCTGTATAAAAGAGGAGTTAACCGGTATGTATTTGGGTCATAAGGTTCTGTGACGTCATTATGATCGTCTGATGAATCTTCCTCTTGTTCGACAGAGTTATCTGAGATAGAAATAGAAAATGCTATGATAAGTTTTTATTACTATTAAATTATAACTTATTAGAAACAGACGTACAAGTATATCAATGAAAGGTATAATATGCCCTTATGTATACAATAGGGAATTGTTTATTTGTCACTACAAATATTTTTTCATAATGAATCTGGTATATTAATTTTATATTACAGAACTAATTGGGTTATTTGCTCTTTTGTGTGACATTGTATTTCATTAAATGACATTATTAAACTTTAACCTCTTTTTTCTGCCGCGGTGAATTCCAGCAGTGTACTGCAGGTACGATAAACAAGGTGAGTGGACCCTGAGGGATGTGGCAGGTGCTTGACAACAAAGGCTGAGACAGAGTCGATTGTTAATGTTTATAGATTGTACAGCGGTTAAAGCATTAATACATTAGGTGCTTTTGGTATACGCATAAAAGATTCGCTTTCAACTTGCGCAGACGAATATTCAGATCGTTACGGAAGCCCAATAGTGCAAACCAAAATAATAAGAAACAAAAAAACGAAATTATTATATAAAGAAAACGAAATTATTAAACAAAAAACGGAATTATTAAATAATGAAAAACGAAATTACTAAATAAAGAAGCAAACGAAATTATTAAATAAAGAAAACGAAATTATTAAATAAAGAAAACGAAATTAATAAATAAAAGACAAACGAAATTATTAAATAAAGAAAACGAAATTATTATGTAAAGAAAACGAAATTATTAAATAAAGAAAACGAAATTATTAAATAAAAAGCAAACGAAATTATTAAATAAAGAAAAACGAAATTATTAAAATAAGAAAACGAAATTACTAAATAAAAAACTGAAACTGAAATACGCAATTTATAGATGTGCATGGTAAGGGCCTGAACCAATGAATCATTCCATAAAGCGCACGTGTTATAAAGCATCACTTAGTAATTCTATAGACCTGATTTTGTTTCGACATTGAAACAAGTGTGGGGGAAATGAAAAAAAAATTAGATAAATGTCAAATTGACAAACGTAGAAAAACATTATGTGCTCACAGCCTATAATTCGCATTTGTAAAGTAAATGATTAATAACTGTTCAATTTTGTTTACGGGAATTTGATGCTGTGTCGCATCCCCACAACGTCAAAGTTTGAGCCTGTAAGCCTGGACGTAGTTTCTGCTTACATAAAATTAATGACATTCCAAAAGAGCTCATGAATCGCTGAAAGGTCAAGGCCTTGCGTATCGTATCGCTGAATTCCCCCGAACTAAACCTAGTGCCCTATCTGTGTACCCATAAATCTTAGGTTGTTGAAACAATAAAGAGAATGATTTGAATACTTGTTGGATTTGTTATGCAAGTGTGTGCATTGTTTGTTCACAACTATCACTGACTTATAAATACAGATTGAGAATTTGTCATTTAGAATATGTGAGAACAAATAGTTAGCGCATCACTTCTAATTATGCTTTGATAAATGACCAAGAAATCACAGGCGCTCCCCATGTAATTCTGTAAATGACGAATGATAAGTATATATATATATATATATATATATATATATATATATATATATATATATATATATATATATATATATATATATATATATATATATATCATTCGTCATTTACAGAATTACATGGTGAGCGCCTGTGCAAGAAATTACAGGTGTTTTGCTTAATTTTTAATAAAGTAAGCAATCATTAAAACCTACTCATTGTAACAACTTTGTCTTGTTTAATTTTTGCAATTGCTCTCTTTAAACAATAATTTATAGTGGGTTCCGATCGGTAACGTATCATTTTACAGCATTTTTTGTACTGTGCTATAATTGAAAAAAAGATGTATAACCATGGGAATTTCCTAAATGTTATAAGGTTCAGCAGTTGTAAACAACGGAATCTTAACAGACATGTATATCTTAAATATTTGTGCAATTTATTAGCATAATCTCTTTGATGTTTCATGTCCAGATTCATTGTTTGCTAATAATTAGACCTTCTGAGTTGATGGTTTAAGAAAGCTAATACTAACGTAAACTTGTCATCACTGGCCAATTCATCAGACTGGTCAAATTAAGTTCACATTAATCATGTTAATGTAAGATAAAAACATAGATCTAAGCATATTGGATAACCAAAGGTAAAATTCTCCCCTATTCATCTATTATGATTGTCTACTCCAACTGGTTATATGTTATCGATACGGGAATAGCTGAGTGTAATATACAGTTATGGAATGGGTACGAGGGAAATAGCAAATTTATGGTTCCCCGAGGGAGGAAACTATTTCCCGAGGCGGCGAAGCCGCCGAGGGAAATAGTTTCCTGCCGAGGGGAACCATAAATTTGCTGTTTCCCGAGTTCCCATTCCATAACTGTTTTATTATACCGAAACAATCATAGACGATTTAATTTTTTCACCAGACATTTAGACATTTAAAAAAAAAACAATGTAGAGGCAAAATCACAAATACATGCGGTTTAACACATTGTTATAAGTAATGCATCGTGTCCTAAAACAATTAGATTATTTTTAAAAAGTATTTTCACTGACATTTCGAAGAATTATGGTTGCCTTCATTTTGCTAGAATCAAAGTTAGCCTGGTCCCCTGGCTCATCCTTGCCAAGGCAGGAGAGCCAGGTGGATTACAATCTATGCTGTCCCCTGATTGGTCAAAACAATCGCGCTAAATCGCTGGGTTTTTGAGCCGTTGCAGTTAACCACGGAAATAAATATAAACGTCACAATTGATTCATTACAACGACGGCGTAGAAAAATACGACGTCACAATGAACTTCTACACCGGAAGCGCAGCTAAATACGACGTATATATATATACGACAGATTCGCCCTGAATCCATTGTAGTCCACCTGGCCCTAGTGACGCCACGAAGCAAAACAGGGACAGGGAACCAGGCTAGAATCAAAGTATGATTTTGACATCGCATGTCGAAAAGTTTTGACGCCATAGTTACATTGCTAATAACATGACGTCACAGACTCGAGATTTCTTAGTCACAGACTCGAGATTTCTTAAACGCTCCGCCCACTGAACACTTTGATTGGTTAAAATTACTAATAAATATTCATGAGGGAGTAGTCCCAGGGAGTAGCTCTGATTTTCCAGGGAGTAGTCCTCAGATGAGGGAAATAGTCTCTTCTCGTGGAAAAAAAAACAGTTTTATGGTATTAATTTTATATAGAGTAATTACAGTAGAGGTATAATAAATGCAAATATCACACTTGTTTTAATGTCGAAACAAACCAGGTCATAGAACACGTGTGCTTTATGGAATGATTCATGGGTTCAGGCCCTTACCATGCACATCTATAAATTCCGTATTTTAGTTTCAGTTTTTTATTTAATAATTTCGTTTTCTTTATTTAATAATTTCGTTTTCTTAATTTAATAATTTTGTTTTCTTTATTTAATAATTTCGTTTGCTTTTTATTCAATAATTTCGTTTTCTTTATTTAATAATTTCGTTTTTCTTTATTTAATAATTTCGTTTTCTTTATTCAATAATTTCGTTTTTGTTTATTTATTGGGCTTCCGTAGATCGTACTATAATGCATTATTATATTTGTTCCCTTAATTATTGTGAACCACAAGTATATATCAATAAACTATGCTACTTTATTTAGAATTGCACAATAAAATCGTTTATTACCCTGTTTTTGACCTCCATACATCCATACAGCAAAATATCTATATATAATGTATGAAGATCATAAAAGCGCCATGATAGTAAAATATAATATTAATTAAGAGTATCCCGTTAGTAAATATTAATAGTTGTTACAAAGCATTATGAAAATTAGTTCATCCGAAACAGATTTTTTTCTCCCCTGTTACATAATTTGTTTTCATGGTACCCCTGTCCTTTGACATCTGACCACTCAATGATTTTAATTCTAAGTTGACTCAAAGGATTCGTGAATGTTAATATATTTACAAAATGATGGCATTAAGATTTAAAGCATACTTAAGAGGAAAGCGAACGCATTTGGTCACAATTTGTCAAAAGGTGGAGTCTTTAATCTACAGTCACAGTGGCCAAAGGAATTCAAGTGCTTTAAATATAGACCAGCCTATTAATATACTCTGTCATAAATCCTTGCTGTCCTTTCTAAATACTGTAGTTGTAAGTAACATGATATTTTTGATTACTTGAAAAGATTGTTTTTTCATAAAAACTGGTCAGGTTCTATACCAAGAAGGAGGGGGGATTGCAATTTTCTTGTACATGTTTTATTAAATTTTTAAAGATTCCTTGGTATGTCAGTACACTCTAGATTTAAAGTCAAATAAAAGATTTACACCACAAGATAAAATTTCAAGATGAAAAGTTATTTTGTTGACACAAAAATGGGTGATTTTTTCAGGCTCCTTTAATAAAATCCATTGGCTAACAACGGCAAAGAACAAAGTCAATGTATGAGATAATAAGTTAACCGATAAACATCGACCTTATATCAGAGATAACTCTCGATTAATTTCTTCTGTTGAAAGGTTATTGCAAAGTGTCTTGATTTAAAGCTTTAGTTTTTTTCCTATTATGAATGTGGTTTATTATCATGATTTAACAACGTAGATATTTCACTTTTTCCCCTCACATTAAATGCCCTTTTATCATAGTTAGCGATGGACAAGGTAAATCCAATCAAAGATTAATTTCCCTTAACATTTATCTGATAACAATACATTCGTGTGAACTGGTCTAAAGGCAAAAATGAGTGTCAGTTTTATACAGGTTAGGAATGCAACTTATTCCATGAAACATGCAGCGTTGAATAGAAACGAAAAGCGTTCTCGGTCTAAGTCCCAATAAAATTCATTGACTTCCCATTGTTTTCCCATTATCAAAATGAATTTACAATTTTAATGAGAATATCGAATTATTGGAATGTTGGGAGGTTGCTATTGCTTTTGTAAAGTAAACCGACGATGAGAATTGTCGTTCACTGTGAGCTGCCCAATTTGTAAAATTAATTATGTTTAAACAAGGTATGGAACGTAAGCATATTGTTAAACAAAAATTTATCATGCTTTTGGTTTTCAATCTCTCTTCAAATGTGCGTGAAATGAAGTGTAATAATCACCATATGACGTTAAACATGAAGAGAAGGGGAAATTGATCAAATCTACCAATTAATAATTAATGCATTCTGTTAATTGGCACACTTGTACAGGTACATAACAAAAAGCAAAATACCATGAGCCGAAAGCAGGCTTTTTCAGATTATTACTTTGGCTTCACCAGTGAGATACTAATAGGGTACAAATCTATTAGTTTCTTATATCTTGTATTGATAAAAATGAAAAGCAGATGTCATAGATATTTACAAAAAAATTCTTTTAATAAAGCAATTAGTAATTTTTTTGTAAATTCACACTCATTTTCAATGGCTTTTTTTTTTTATCACGATTGTTCCATTTTTGGTAAATAAAAAAATCATTGTCTTAAACTATGCAATCGCATTAAATGTGTTTATATACCGTATTGCATACCTCTCATTTTCTTAACGAGGTAATTCTTCATTTTGTCAATCTGCATATGCTTTAAATGTTCCCTAAGTTGTTTTTCCTCCCGAGACAGCTCTGACTGGGCCAACCTTTTCTCTGACTCTATCCCCATCGTTTTCTTCTGTAAGGAATTCCTCCTGGCTGAATTCTTAATTCGACAGTTTTTGTAACTTTTGCTGCTCTCTCGGATGTACCTATCAACGTCCGATTCTTGCATCTTCTGGCACCTATTTACTCTCCTATCAAAGGGTTTCGAGTATTTCTTCTCGCCTTTTTGAAATTGCACTTGATATCTCTTAGAATGACTGCTGCAGGTGTCAAGCCCTATCCATCTTTTTAACACTCTATAACGATCCTTAGCGGAACTTTTTCACCTCCTCTGAGGGCTTTTCTTTGTTTCTTGTCAATTGTTGTGATGGTTTTCCTCCGTGCCTCGTCTTTTAAACAACAGGACTTTCTCAGTCAATCAATATCTCCCGATAAAGCAATCTGGCTTCAAACAATCGTGGTGGGAGTAAGTAAATTATTTACCTACAATTTACGACTTGCAGTAGTAGAGGGGGACACAAAGCTACACAAGGGATAGGGTGAACAAGCACCTGTTACAGAGAGGGTATCTCTACAGGTTATCGGCTCCTTAGTCAGTCGGTTTCTCTTGTACTCCTTATATATGTTCTCTCTCCCTAGCTGCCGGTCCTGTCATTTGTTTGAATATTAAATAGACTTTCATTTAAGCATATAGACATTTGCTGAGGAACAGGAAAGATTTTTAAATGCTGTAGTGTTTACTTAATTTTGAGAGTTTATTGCGAAGTTAAACTTCAATTGGAAAATAATATGTACACTAACCGGAACGACTAATTCTTTGACATATCTTTGAATCTTGCTTTCACCAAAACACGCGAAGAAGGTTGTTCTTGTGTCAATTTTCAAGGTTTTTAAATGGGTAATGAGTGCTTTTTAATAGACTAATGCCACCAAAATATTTACCATTCCTCGTCATATTTCTTGTTCGGTTTTCAATCGTTTCCTCAATGACGCAAATTCAGAACAGAAAACAATGACATATGCCATTGATACATTTTCCTATTTCAAATCGAAAACACTCAAGAAAGTAGTACGTGTGTGCAAGAATGCACCAATGTGCATGATCGGAAAAATATTTACTTATAATGTTCTTCAGTCCGCTAATCATGCGGTTTTAAATTATTGCTGCATAAACAGCGTCTCTTGCGCTTGTAATTATAAAAAGCAATAATTCATTAATTAATCGAGAAATATTTTTCAACTTTAAGCAACTGAGCTAGCGGAGGTTGAAATTATTCGTAAATTGAGTGTACTTTTATTATTTCGGGTTTAACATTTTAAAGTATGAATTCCCTAAATGAATAAAGAATCTCATGGGGAAAAAAAAATTTCTAGCTATTTTTTACTGATTGTAATATTTTTTTGTATTCATTATTGAAAATGATTATTTTTTTCCAGATATGTTAATGAAAATACCATTCATGCAATTTAAACAAATATATTTAAGTGCCTCTCACCTCTTAAAACAAATAAAAGGTCATATAGTTTTGTATCGTTTTTTTAATTCGAATTTCTTATTAAACTGTATTTTTCTCAAATAGAAAGGAGTAATGTTTAATTTAGAAACAACTTAGGATGATGTATAAATGGAAGTTTGAAAACTACAAATCGGATGAAGTGAATGGATCTGAAACAATGTTACACGTATACTATTCCAAAAAACAACTTAAAAAAAGAAGTTTAATAATTTACTTAGAGACTTCGTCCTTTTAAAACACAAAATGATACCTTCATTGTTCATTGTAAACTTTGAATGCGTATCATTTGTTTGCATCTCCTGTCAATATTACATTGATAAAGTGTTTCAAAGTTGATTTAATGAGTAATTAAAAAATATCTACATTATCCGCACTGACTTTTCTTTGACATATACATGTGTATTTCTTAGTCTTTGGCAAATCATATTTAGCTTTCACTAAGACACATGATTTAGGGTCTTCTTGTCTTGTTGACAAGTTTTTTTTTTTTTTTTTTTTTTTTTTTTTTTTTTTTTAAAAATCAGTGCTTGTTCATAGCTTATCAACAAGAATATATTTTTCATATTCTTTAGGAATTTTCTGTTACTTTATACAAGTAATTTTCATTCTCTGTAGCTTTAATTTAAATGCATTTTGAATTCAGAGAATGGCAATTAATCAATACTTGAATTCCGCCAGTTATCCTTTGACATGCCAGTATTGCATGTAAAATAAAATATACAGTTCTATCTTTCACCTGTAGCTTTGCAAATCTTTACTACATCAAAACAACTAGATCTGCTTGGATGACTTTTGCCTTTTATTAAAGACGATAATTGAATAACAAAAAATAAAATCAAATAATCTACATCACTAATAGGGAGATCCCAGACAAACATAGATTTGATGAGCAACTAATGTCACACAGGTAGAGGAATCTCCTTAAAATAAAGTAAGACATCACTACAGCAAACAAAGAAAAATTATGTTCATCACTAAAAATGAGTACAGACACTATAACATTATGCCTAATATCTACATGTATCTGCTTTGCATGAGGTGATGTTCTTTGTAAATGTTGTCATAATAGCCTTAGGCCTACTGCAGAAATATTAATGCGCATTTGTTTAATTCGCATTCACATTCGTGTCGTCATTTGCAAATCACGTCATCTTATGCAAACACATTTGACATTATGTGATTGTCATAGTTTCTGTAGACATTTTGAGTGATAAATTCACATTTCCCTTGATTTTTACTAAAAATAGCATATTTCCTTATATCTGACAGCCGGCATGTGGTATATGGCTTAATTTTGCCATTACGCATGCGTCCAAATTTAATTCAAATAAGTTTCGCTTACTGTTCATACTGAGTAAATTATTGCAGAGCAATTTGATGCGCAATATTTACATCCACTGAATTTTTTCTCCTTTATTTCTTATGAAAACCATTGCCGTTCATCAGTTCGTAAACAACACAGCATAACACGTGTACAGATTTCTTGTGCAGTGGCTGTTCCATCAAGGAAACGTACTATGACGTGCTTATCAATAATGCAATATATTACCTTTTTAATCCTACTTTAAATGATTATTTATACAGATATAAATATAAACAATAAAATATCTGTCTTTGTTTGTTAGTACGGGGATTAACGTCGCAGCTATTACAGAAAAAAATTACACAACCCGCTTATGCGGGTTATGTATTTTTTCTGCAACAGCTGCGACATTAATTCCCGTACTAACACCCAAAGAAATCATTTCATTGTTTAAGTAAATGCATTCAAATTATGCACTGTTCACACGGAAACTTTTATTTAAATTAAAAAGTTACGGCTAATTAAATTTGAAGTGCGTTCACACGGAGAATTAATACGAATTAGCTTCGCTTAGCGTTCACACGAAGCTAATGCAAAGTATTTGATGCGCAGTAAATAATTCGAATAAAACTAAGTCCCATGGAATTCTCTGTATGAGGTGGGTTCAAATTTAATTCGCAGTAACTTACATTTAATTCGAATTAAACATTCCGTATGTACAGGACTTAATAGTGCTACTAGCATGACTAGCATTGTCGCAACCACTGCCAAAGGTTCCGATCTTCTGGTAGGTAGGAGATCCGAACCGTGGCTTGAGACGATACATGGCTAGTAGCCTATCGCCATCTCTTTGTATTAAAGTATGCGTTAAAAATTAATTCTAAACAAGATGTGTTTGTGAGACACTGATGCCCCCGTATGGCAACTCATAACAAAGGATAAACTTTCTCAAATGCAAATCAAATATGTTGGTATCCAAAGTAAGATCTTGTTTCGAGGTATATACCTGTGAAATATGAAAACCCTAGCAGCAACCATTGAATAGATATGGAAAAGGTTAAAGTTTTTCAAAAGTAAGTCAAACATCAAGGTCAAGTTCAAATGGTCAAAATTAATGGTGCCCAAGGAAAGGCCTTCTCACAAGAAATACACATGTGAAATATGAAAGCCCTAGCACCAACCGTTCAAAAATTGTAGTCAAGGTTAAAGTCTTTCAAGAGTAGGTCAAACTCCAAGGTCAAAGGGTCAAAGTTGGTGGTATCCAAAGTAAGGTCTTGTCACAAGGATTACATATGTGAAGTATGAAAGCCCTAGCACCAACTATTCAAAAGTAATGGCCAAAGTTAAAGTTTTGCAAAAGTAGGTCAAACTCCAAAGTCAAGGTCAAAGGGTAAAAGTTTTTGGTATCCAAAGGAAGGTCTTGTCACAAAGATCACATATGTGAAGTATGAAAGCCTTAGCACTAACCGTTCAAAAGTTATGGCCAAGGATAAAGTTTTGCAAAAGTAGGTCAAACTCCAAGGTCAAAGGGTCAAAGTTGTTGGTATCCGAAGGAAGTTCTTGTCATAAGAATTACCCATGTGAAGTATGAAAGCCCTAGCACCAACTATTCAAAAGTTATGGCCAAGGTTAAGGTTTTTTAAAAAGTAGGTCAAACTCCAAGGTCAAGATCAAAGGGTCAAAGTTGTTGGTATCCAAAGGAAGGTCTTGTCACAAGGTAAACACAAGTGAGGTTTGGAAACCCTAGCACCAACTATTCAAAAGTTATGACCAAGGTTAAAGTTGAAAAAAAATAGCAAAAGTGGTTCAAACTCCAAGGTCAAGGTCAATAGGTCAAATTTTATGGTACCCAAGGAAAAGTCTTGTCACAAGGAATACACATGTAAAATATGAAAGCCATAGCTCCAACAAATCAAAAGTTAGGGGCAAGGTTTAAGTTTTTGCGGACAAACAGACAGACAGACAGACAGACGGGCAGGGCAAAAACTATATGCCCCCGAATCTTCGATTACGGGGGCATAAAAATAGTATTTTTTATTCCCCTGTAATAAAAGATTAGTTTTTTCCCTGTCCGTCCGTCTATCTGTCTGTTTAGCTGTTTGTTTGTCTGTGTGTCCCCAAAAACTTTAACATTGCCCATAACTTTTGATTGGTTGGAGCTATAGCTCTCATATTTCATATGTGTATTCCTTGTGACAAGACATCTCTTTGGGTACCATCATATATTGACCTTGATCTTGAAGTTTGACCCAGTTTTGCAAAAATTTACCGAACTTTAACCTTGGTCATAACTATTGAACAATTGGTGGGAGAGCTTTTGTACTTCACAGGTGTATTCCTTGTGACAAGACCTTCCTTCAGATACCAACAACTTTGACCC